GTGAAATGTGTTATTTTTAGCCTTTACTTATTACACGTATAAAATATTGATAATATGGGAATAATTAGTTCATTTAAAAACAAAACAAAATGTTTGTATATTCTGCATACAAATAAAAATACAGTAACTTAGTTATTCATAACATAAAAGCCGTTTTAAACCGTTAACTCATTAAGAATTTTTGTTTCGTAAAAAAGTTTTATTACATTTAAATAAATATACAAATTTAAAAAATATAAACCGATTTATTTGTATATTTGGATATTTAATTGAATTCATAGGTCTATAGAGAGCCCACTATTTGCGTCAATAAAGTCGTAAAAATTAACTCAAAAATACATTATATTAATATCAATTAACCGCCAAATGAACTAAATATACAGGAATATATCAATTTTAATGATATATTTTAATAAAAAAGTTTTGAGAGACAAGTACTTTAATTTCTTATAAGTATTACTACTGTTTATCTAATATATAACAAGTCAATAATATCCGAAATAACTTATTTAGACGTAAATGAAGTGCAAAATGACATAGAAATGAATTTGTACTTAAAGTATAATACTATTAAACATAATATTTTGTATACACGTACTGTAGAACTCATGCATTATATAATACACTGGAATTCTATTAATCGGATTCCCTTTCATAATATTCTGAATTCAAATTAAATTCAGGAATAAATCCATACAAACATACAGTCAATAGCATTGCATATAAGCACAGGAATCATAGAATCACATAATCTGTAATTTTCATACATAACTTATTATAGCTAAACAGTTCAATGGATTCATTAACATTTGCTATTCATATGGAAATACAGCTCAACAAAAAGTCAACAGAATATTCTGGACTCAAAAAACACAACTTTATTGACTAATAAAATAATATACGAAAACATAAATTACATTATAAACACTCATAATAATCAAATTAAAACATGAATATTCTGTAGTATATTCTGTATCCACGAGTTTGTTGGCGACAGAATTGTATGGGACTGATAGGCCGGGTAGCAGTGGTGGTGCCATCTATGGGGTGGGCGCACACACACCGTAACGAAAGTGTCGGCCATTACTCACTGAACACTGATTTGACGTATATTTCGTGAAAACAACACAACATTTGCGTTGAAAAGCAATTAAATGTGATTTGATTTACCGTTTGATTAGTTTGAATGCATTTAAAAGTCATTTGAAAACCCATTTAATGATCATTTGAATGAACAGTAATTCAATTCAAGTCATTAATTATTAATACATTTGTTGAGCAAAACATTTAATCCGTTTCTCTTCTTCTCCCTTGTCTTCGATAAACCACTACTTCTTCCGTGTCTTTGAATGTCATGTCATTCACAGATGACACCAACAGTCAGACAATTGACATACCGCTGCCCGGGGATGACCCCAACGCACAGACATCACCGCACAGACAGGTGACCGCCGATGACCACAACCCGACACCACTGGCGGCCACCACTGCTCACCAGATGTCTGCCGATAACGCCATCGCCGGTAGTGTTCATAATAGCGGTGCCGTGAATGCCATGCCGTATGCCATGGCTTCGCCACACCTTCAGCAGCAACAGCAGGCCTACCATCAGTACTATCAGCAGTACTATTACCAGCAAATGGCGCCCCAAATGATGCCGCAGACGTACCCATACTTTATGCCGCAACTGATCCCACGACCAATGGTTCCGATGGGACCACAGGTGGCGACCATAACGCCGCAAATGTCTGCCATTATTAACCACAACACCAATCATCACAATAACAGTAGCCGTGCGGCGGACCAGACGTCTGGCGGTGAGGCCTACTCGGAGGCCGGGGAGGACT